AATAATTGTTTTATCATTGTATGGATAATAAAACTACTTATATGAGCCCTTTCTCTCATCTTTTTCAGTTTTGTAGAATGGGAGCAAAGTCGAACAAGATGATCGACACGATCGCCATCCCAAAAACAAATTTCCTAACCCCTCCCAAAGCAAACTATGAAACGCAGTGTTAATTTCAGCTTTTCGCCCTTCTTCAGCGTATGTAGTTTGTGTACACAATAACGAATAACGCTATCCACCGTATAAATCTGTATCCAGTGGACAAGGCAATTAGTTTCCCGAATCCTTAGCCGCTGCCATCCAGAGATTTCTCCGGTGGATAGCGTTATCAAACGCCTGAATAACCGAGGCCTGTGGCTCATTTCTCGAAAGTTTCGATAGTTAACGGGTTCATGCAAGATAGAGGTTTCGGGCCCAAAAAGTTACCGGGACGGGCCCCTGATCACTGAAGCTAACGTCTTGACGAAAAGACAGTCTCGAACAGGATAGACTATCCTGAATGTTGACTTATCTTATTTGCCCAAGTGTACAGAATTCTTGTTAGTTTATAATTTAGAAATTAAGAACCTGTTTTAAATTTTGGACTAAACAGGTTCTCATATAGAGGAGACCTAACTCGCAAATTCTAGGCTAAGAGATGATTTCCAGTGTCGTGTAATTTTTACGTGCGTCAGTGTGTAAAATTTACGTTCGCAAATAAAATAATGGCAATACATGAAAGGTCGCTCGAAAGCGTAAAAGTTGAACCTCGCTCAACTTCTCGTTTAAGCTCAGCACTTTTTATCTTGCCTCTATTTTATTTACGTGATTAAAATTTGCGTGCGTGAACGTGCGTGGGCAAAAACGCGTCAGTGGAAATTAACCTTCAGAGATTCTTAAAAACCAGGTTCTTACTCCCCGGTATTGTAGGTTCCAGCTCAGGCGGTTACCGCTCCTGGGTCTTTACTTTACTCAAACAATCCTAAAGAATCGGTCCTGGCTACTTATTTTTTTCATTTTTGAAGTTTTATCATGTTAGATAGTAAACTATTGAAACCTCGATTTTTTTCAATGAGATGAATTTTGCATTTTTAAAATATTAATGCCATTTTTTTCAATGAGATGAAAGCGTTAAAATGTGTTTCTGTTTCCCAATACTAGAGAACACATGTTACTGTCGGAATAGAAAGTTCGCTTGAGGTGCAGAGCATCACTCGCAAGTATGGCCACGCTTACGGCAATGCGCAAAAAAATGGAAAGCTTTAGCTGCCACATTTTCCCTGGTACGGTCTGCAAGTGTTTCGCAGGAGTTACACGCTCGATGATGTTTCCCAAACGGCTTCTCAATTTTTATCCTCTCCCAGAACAATGAGTGCCCTCACCTGCTGAGATCCTACGTTTGTTTAACGTTTGGCTTTAATTTTTTTGCACGCTTTGCATCTTTTTTCCTCTTTAGTTACATATCCCAAGGAGGTACTCAACAAAGTTTAGGGGGAGGATCCACCCAGAAGTCTGACCCCTTATGCTTTTATATACCATTTTTGACGTAATAATTGTTGCAAGCTCGAGACCGGGGGGAATACTCCCTATGATGGCCTATACGGGGGGACTCCACCCGAAAGGGGTATCTTTTTAAAGCTTCAGGTATATGAAAGGATAGGCATTTCACTAGTTGAAGTATATAAAAGGGTAGGGAAATCTGTCATTTGTGTCTGTGAAAGGGCCCAAAAGGGTTAAGAGGTGAATTTTACAGCTTTATAAAGTCGAGAAAACGTTACATTTTTGTCATTGATTCATATTTATAAGTACTAAACAAGGTTTGTGAAAGGGGTGTTATTTATCAATAGAAGGTATACGAAAGGGGTACCTTTTTCGTGAAAGATGTTATAAAGGGTATGGGGTTGGACCTCGGGACGGTGCCTCCCCGTTTAAACATTTGTTGAATACCCCCGCCCCCCCCACCCGGGGGGGCATGGGACGCAGTGTTTCAACATCAGATTAGGCTGCTTGCTTAATTCGCCACTCGCGTGCTTAGGTTTCGCGTGCACTAACTTTGCAAAGAAAAATAACAGACTGCTCGCAGTCTAACATCAGATGAAACACGTGCACCGACAAGAGAGTTGAAAATACTACGCGCAGCGGAGTACTTTAGACGAACTGCGAGGTGTTTCATCTGGTGTTCTCAAACTCATTAATAATTCATAAAGAAAATACAAAGAAAATTAATGTTTAAGGTGGCTCCGTGATTAACACAAGAGCATTTAGCTGTGACAAATTTTCCGTCATAACTTTTTCGATTTTAACGCTATGGCTGCGAAACTTTGCAATTAACAACAGATATCATTCGGCAATAATACGAACTATTCCGATTTCATTGATGGTAAATATTTCTTGAGAAATTAGCGCTTAAAAAGACCCTACTGTTCAAAGAAAATCGCGTCTAGTAAAAAATTTTGCTGATATTTTTTACTGAAATTTCTGGTATCGGCTTTAATTGATATAATAAATATGCCAGAGGAAT